TCAGTCTTCGGTAGGCACGCGCTCCTCCAGCGATGCTGTTGCGGCCCCGCAGGGCGGAGGGCGTGCCGCCGAGGAAAGGGGGTCTTCGAGCGGCCCCGCGCCTGGCCGAGATTCAGGGCACGAGCTGCATCCCAGCGGCTCCCACAGCGGCGACGCTGGGAGCGCCGCGGCTGCAGCCTTCGCAGCGCGGCGCACGGCCTCCGCGGCCGTTGAGCAGCCCTTGCCTCCAGGGGCCGCCACCGCCCTAGCGTGGCGTCTCAACCTCGGCGGTGAGAAGGTCACAGTGGTGAGGTGGGGACCCGCCTGGCAAGCTGCCTTCCAGAGCGCGGCGTCGTGGCTGAGGTCTTTCGCACCCGCAGGGGCCGCCGAGCCCGAGGGCAGAGATGACCTGCACTGCCTCCTGCAGGCCCTGCACGCCTATAAGCGCCTGTTTCAGACAGGCGGCGCCGAGCCGATCGACGAAGCCTCGTGGTTGCATCCTTACGTGGCCGCCGTCGAGCCCGAGGCTATCCCCGCGGGCGCTGACCTCCAAGCCATGGGGGCGGGCGCCATCCGTGGCATCGGGCTCGGCTCAAAGATCGAGCACAGGAGGCGCGCGGGCAAGTTGGCCTGCCTTTTCGACCTTCTGTACCACGTGCAGGACGGTCACGGCGCCATCCCAGCAGCGCTGTGGGGATCTCATTCCCCTCCGTCCGAGATCCTCGACGCGTTCGCGGAGGTGGTGCCCGTTCCACATCATTCGGGCCTCACGTCCTCGGCAGCTCGTTCCGAGCTCGCCGAATCGGCCGCAGCTGCGCGCGCCGAGCCGCGCCCGCCCTTTGACTGGGCGACCCTCGAGGGAGGGGACGCTCTGCCCGCCGAGATCGAAGCAGGGGCTCGCCGTGCTCACCGTAACATGGGCGGATCCTTCACCTCGGCGCGGGCGATGCTGGCGGAGGCGTCGGGGTTCGAGACCGACGGGCGGGACACCCTCGTTCCGCCCTTCTACGCGTCCAGGAGCAGGAGGGCCGCCACGCTGATCAGCTCTCCCAGCCCTGGCCGCCCTGCGCTCATCCTGTGGTGCGTCTGCGGCCTCTGCATCTCTCTGGGAGCCGCGGCGCCGACCGCAGGCCAAGGGCTTAGTCGGGCTGCGCCTTCCGCGCCCGCTCGCCCTCCGCGCACTCCCTTCGTGCGCGATTCTCACCTCACCTCCGCGTATCTCGATCGTCGCTCGAGATCGATTGATGCGTTCGAACTGTGGTTAGCAGAACACACTGGCGTGCCGCCCGCCACTCTTTACCGTAGCGGGATACTTCTCGCCCGCTTCCTCGCGACCTTCGGCGTGTGGCTTCATGATGCAGGTTTCCCTCATTATATTCTGGTTCATGCCATCTTGGGAATCCAGAGCGCTCATCCGCATTGGAAGGCCTTTCTAACAGAAGCTTGGGACGTAGCGAAACAATGGAAGCTCGCGGAGCCGCCAAAGCTCCGCCCGCCCTTACCTCGCGCTCTGCTGCGCGCTATGGTCGGTCTCTGTTTCGCCTGGGACTGGCCTGTGATGGCGGCCTTGCTGCTCATGGGCTTACGATGTTCCTCAGGCCTGGCGAGCTGCTGGCGTCACGCCGCTGTGACTTGTCGCTTCCTTGCGACCGCCTCGAAGTTGAAGGGGATGCTTTTCTCTCGATTCTTGTTCCAAAGACCAGGAGAACGTACCCGACGCAGCATGCTCGCTGCTCCGATCGGGGCACGGTGAAGATTCTGAATCAAGTGTTTGGGCGGTTGGCTTCCACCGATCCTCTCGCCCCTTTCGGTGCGAGCGGCTTCCGTACTCGGTGGAATCATTTGCTTTCGGCCCTGGGCGTCCCTCTTGCCAAAGCGGGTCAGGGGCTCAACCTGACGCCCGCATGTCTGCGGGGCTCTGGCGCAACAGACTTCTATATCGCTACGGAAGACGTCCCTCGCGTCTTCTGGCGGGGGCGTTGGCGTCAGGCTTCCAGTGCTGAGCGCTACCTGCAAGCCGCCGCCGCTTCCACAGTTCTTGCTGCGCTGCCCGTGCCCGCACGGGCGCGGATCCTGTTCTTCGCCACCGCCAGCGACCGCCTTGTCGCTTCATTTCTCCAAGTCGGCCCCGCCGCTTGGCCTGCCCTACTTGCGGCCGCCCGCCGAAACCTTGTCACTTCGCAAGGTCCTTGAGCACGGGTATGGCTGCCTCGCCGTCGTCGGCGAGCAGGCGGTCTCCCCCGCCTGACGCGCGGCGCCCCGGCACGAGCGCGCGGGACGGGCCTGCCCATTTTGGGCCGCCCCGCGCGCGCGAGCCGCGGCCGCGCTCGGAGACAGCTCGCTAGCGCGCGAGCGGGAGAATGCCTCTTCTATTCTCTGTGAGCAAGCTCCTGCTGTCTCCGCAGCTTCTCTGCCCCCCTCCCTCCTCTCCCAATCTAAGGCTGATGGGCGCTGCCTCGCCGTCGTCGGCGAGCAGGCGGTCTCCCCCGCCTGACGCGCGGCGCCCCGGCACGAGCGCGCGGGACGGGCCTGCCCATTTTGGGCCGCCCCGCGCGCGCGAGCCGCGGCCGCGCTCGGAGACAGCTCGCTAGCGCGCGAGCGGGAGAATGACTGCCCTGACCTCTGCCGATCACGGCGGGCGCCTGCGGCTACCGTGCCTTCCAGCGTTGTGCCACCAGGAAGTTGTTTCGACCAACGGGGTAAGGCGCCCCAAAGCCGCCTCATTTCGAGTCCCCGTAGATCAGATGTGTGGACTCGTTCAATGCAGGGTCCCTGAAAGCCCCGACACTCTGCCCGGGGCCAGCTCCCCGTCCCTGGGGGCGCGCATGGACCGCCCTGGGGCCCTGCCAGGGCCACCATGTGCCGACGATTGCGAGACAATTCTGTACACCTTAGGCGACGCTTAAGAAAACCTAAGTTTTCGGCCAGAGTCTCGATTATTCTTAACGTTTCAATGTAAATCTTAAGATTTTAACAGAAAGGTTGGGTTTTATTCAAGTTCTGAGACTATGAATTTCTTAACCCATGATTTCTTCAGCATTTCGCAGGGTGTATTTCTGGGCCTCCCAGACGGGGTCCAAGTAGATGGGGTCAGAGGATCGCGCCGCATCGCCGATGCATCGCCAGGGCGGCTCGATGTGCACCATGGGGCCCGGCTTTCTCTACGCCGACGTCGCCGATGCATCGGAGAGTTGGTGCAATCCTCCGACCCCGTCTACTCGGATCCTGTCTAGGGAAAGAGCGTGTTCTACCGCTGCTGGCGGAAAACTGGGGGGCGTCACTGGGGGTTCCTAATCCGTCCCCTCCCCCCCCCCCTGGAAAACTGGGGGGGGGGTCACTGCCGGTTCGAAGCCCCCCCCCCCAAGTCTATCATGAAAAGGAGGGGGGTCACTACCGGTTCGAACCCCCCCCTCGAAAACCGGGGGGGGGTCACTACCGGTTCGACGGGACAGTTGGAGAATGGTGAGGATGTTGGGACAGTGGTGGGAACGGTGGTGGTGGGGACAGTGGTGCGGGGACAGTGGGACAGTGGTGCGGACAGTGGTGGGGACGGCGGTGGTGGGGACAGTGGCGAGGGGACAGCGGGACATTGGGGACGGTAGTGGTGGGGACAGTGGTGAAGGCGGTGGTGAGGACAGTGGTGGGACAGTAGTACAGTGGGGAGAGTGGTGGGGACAGTAGGGACAGTAAGACAGTGATGGGGACAGTGGGGACGGTGGGACAGCACAGTGGGACAGCGGCGGGGACAGTGGGACAGTGGTGGGAACAGTGGGGACAGTGGGACTGTGGTGGGGACCGTGGGGAAAGTGGGGAGAGTGGGACCGTGGTGGGACCATGGTGGGGAGAGTGGGGACTGAGACGCTGGTGGGGGGCACTGGTGGGGACAGCGGGGACAATGGTGGGAACAGGGAGGATAGTGGGACAGTTGTGGGGACAGTGGCGGTGGGGACAGTGGTGTGGGGACAGTGGGAATATGGTGGAAATAGTGGGACAGTGGAGGGTACAGTGGTGCTGGCGACAGTGGTGAGGGAGGTGGCGAGGACGGCGGTGGGAGAATGGGACAGAGGTACAATAGGGACAGTGGTGGGGACAGTGGGGACAGTGGTGGGAACAGTGGGACAGCTCGGTGGGACAGCGGCGCGGACAGTGGGACAGTGGGGACAGTGGGACAGTGGTTGGGGCCTTGGAGGAAGTGGGGAGAGTGGAACCGAATGTGGCAAAAACAGTGGGACAGTGGAGGGTACAGTGGTGGTGGCGACAGTGGTGAGGGCGGTGGCGAGGACGGCGGTGGGATTATTGGACAGAGGTACAGTAGGGACAGTGGTGGGGAAAGTGGGGACAGTGGTGGGAACAGTGGGACAGCTCAGTGGGACAGCGGCGGGGACAGTGGGACAGTGGGGACAGTGGGACAGTGGTTGGGGCCGTGAAGAAAGTGGGGAGAGTGGAACCGTGGTGGGAACAGTGGTGGGGACAGTGGGGACAGTGCGACAGTGGTGGGGGCACTGGTGAGGACAGTGGTGACGGTGGTGGGAACAGTGGGGACAATGGTGGTGAGGACAGTGGTGCTGGCTGGGGACAGCAGTGGGGGATGTGGTGCGGACGGTGGTAGGGACCCAGAGTTGTGTGCTGGCGGTGAGCGTGGTGGGGGGGCGGGGGACGGGTTCGGGCCGGTAGTGACCCCCCCCCGGTTTTCGAGAGGGGGGGGGGTCGAACCGGTAGTTTTCTGGACGGGGGGGGGGCTTCGAACCAGTAGTGACCCCCCCCCGGTTTTCTGGAGGGGGGGGGAGGGGAGGGGGGGGGGGTGCCGGGGGGAAGGGGGGGGGGTCCAGCAGGTGGGGGGGAATTTTCCGCAGTAAAGCGGCGGTGGATCACACTCTCTCTCTGTCTGGGAGGTCTCCTGTACTGATCTTTCAAAGCGCATGCAGGAGGCGTGGGTCCTATAGTCCTTCCCTGCCCCCGCCGGAGCAAGGCGCGCGCGTGCGGCCGGGGCCCGCTGCGCGCGCGCCCGCGCGCCCCCGCAGGCGGAGATGTACGAGAGGATCTGCAAGAAGTACAGGGTCCGCCCGGGCTCGGGCGGGGCGGGGGCGGTGGGAGGAGGAGGAGGAGGAGGAGGAGGAGGAGGAGGAGGAGGAGGAGGGAGGAGGAGGAGGAGGAGGAGGAGGAGGAGAAGAAGAAGGAGGAGGAGGAGGAGGAGGAGGGAGGAGGAGGGAGGAGGGAAGGAGGAGGGAAGGAGGAGGGAAGGAGGAGGGAGGAGGGAAGGAGGAGGGAAGGAGGAGGGAAGGAGGAGGGAGGTCCGCCGGGGCGGAGGCGGTGGGAGGAGGATCGGGGAAGCGTGCGACTCGAGTGAGCCGGAGCTCGGGTTTGCCGTGTTTTTTGGTTGACGAGCGCGTCCTGGATTTGGACGGTGCCGTTTTCGTGGGACATCTGCAGCGGGAGCCCGCGTCAAATTTCAGATTGGGTCTCGTCATTTTTATGATGGCCCCCGTCAGGCCAAGCCAAGTCCCCCGTACCCGAGTCTTGCGTCTCCCCGAGAGGAGGGAAGCGGAAGTCGGCCACATCCAAGAGTGGCTCTTCGCCAGAGTGGCCTTTGCGGTGCGGGCCCAGAGGGGTCCCCCCCAGTGTCCCCCAGTACTGGCTTGCGCGGCAGGACTGGGCCATACCGTGGCCCCCTGAAGCCCACAGTCACCCTTGCGTGCAGCCGAGGGCGGAGGGAAGATGAGAAGGAGGAGGAGGAGGAAACGGAAGAGGAGGAGCAAGTCGCGCGTTCATGGATGCCCGTGTTCTTTTGCAGTGTTGCAGTTCCTTGGCGAGGAGGCGGAGGAGGAAGGGTCGGAGGAGGAGGAGGCGGAGGAGGAGGAGGAGGAGCAGGAGCAGGAGCAGGAGCAGGAGGAAGAGATAGATGAGGACGTAATGCCACCTGGTGGTGTTTGGTGCTAGCCAGGCGTTGGCCCGCGGCGCTGGCGTGCGCAGTGCTGCCTTGGTCGCGCTGACGATGCCCACACACACCGATTATGATGTTGATGAAGCTGAGGATGAGAATGATGATAAGGATGCTGAGGATGATTCTGGTAGTGATTGTGGTGATGATGTTGATGCTGGTGCTGATGACGATGATGACGATGATATTGATGCTGCTGCTGGCGATGATGATCACGGTGATGCATCATCGTCGACACAACGGCGGCCCTCGCTGGCATCTGCTGTCTCCCAGAAGCTTCTCGTCGCCACGGCCGGATTCGCCACGAGAACCGGGCAAGGATTGATTCGGGCAGGTTGGGCGTCGCGTAATGGGGGGGTCATAAATGGGGGGGTGGCGAGGGTGGTCCGAAAAGGTACCCAAATGGTACCTAAACGAGCCCCTTGAGGCTCTGGAGGGGCCCGAAAGGGGCACGAAAGGGGACCGTTTCTGACCCCCCCATTTGTGACCTCCCCATTAAGCCACGCCCAAGCAGGGCGGGAGAGTTGCTGTTGTCTCAAGTGGCCCTCCTCCGAGAGTGGCGAACAGGGATTCCATGATCACCCGACGGACCAGATCAGACCCACCCGCCGCCTCCGTAGGTCCAGGCTTGCCTGTGTACTCTTTGGTTGTCCAAGCATGTCCAGAGGAGTGCGACCTCACCGGCTCTGGTCTGGTCGGGTTTGTCTGTAGGCACTCAGGGCTGGTGTTTCGGGGTGGCGACGAGGCAAGAGCAAGATGAGCACAGGGCAGCGTTGCTGATATGTCGGCCGTGGCCATGACATCTCGCCATGACATGCCTCTTTTCCTTCACTCGATACATACGCCCCCCGGCCCCTCCTTCGTTCGCGCCCGTGCCTCGGGCCATGATGCGCGAGGCCTTTCTCCTGGCCCCTTCCCTCTGCGACGCACCCGAGAGGAGGGGTATGAGGGATGGATGGAGGGGTCGAGATGGTGCAGGAGTGTGCAGCTTAGTGGGCCCCGGAAACGGCAGGGCCGTTTTTTCACCGTTTCCAGAAAAATGTACATTGAAAATGGAAATGGCAAAAGAACGGCGACCAGAAACGGCAATAAAACGGCTCCAGGATTGGAACCGGAGCCAGAACCGGTCAAAAAACGGCGACGGAACCGGTAAAAAAACGGCGTCGGAACCGGTAACAAAAACGGCAAAACGGAACCGGTAAAAAAACGGCCCTGTCGTTTCCGGGACCCTTTAAGGTGTACAGCAGTGTGCAGGATCATGCAGGAGAGGGATGGGAAGTGGCCGGAGTATGCAGGAGGGCTCAAGCTGCGACACCTCGAACCGTCGCCCATGTTTGGGATACGGTTGTTGAGATACAACGTTGGATCTGTCACGCGCCGTGCTACGCAATCTGTTCGAGAGATACCCGAGTTCATACTACACTTCTTAGTTACGGGGCTCTGCGATGGCCTCCCTCCTTCCTCCTTCCCCCTTCCCCCGCCTCCGCCTCCTCCCCGTCGTGCCACAGGGCTTTCTCCGCGTCTGCAGAAAGTGCACAGTCTTCGTCGCTTCGGATTCGCTCAATCAGCCGCTCACGCCTGAGCTCCAGCTCCGCCTGAGCCTGAGCGCCGAATTCGCGATCGGATCTCATCGCCCCAGCTCGTTTCTCGATGGCGCCGTGGCTGGGAACTGCCAGTGGCAAGCCGACATCGCGAGAAGGCCGCCTGCCGAGAGGATCGCCACGGCGCCGGGAGAGGCCCTGAGTTTTCGTATATCCCTCCCGGGTGTCCGACGTCGTGGTTTCTTCCACGTTGGCTCGAGGGAAATCTCGACCCCTTCCCAGGAGACCCGTTGTTCGCCTGGGTCACCCGGGTTGCTCTAGGTTGGACCCGGGTTTGCGTATCCCTCCCTGGTTCCCGACGTTGCGATTTTTCTTCCACGTTGGCTCGAGGGAAATCTCGACCCCTTCCCAGGAGACCCGTTGTTCGCCTGGGTCACCCGGGTTGCTTCAGGCTAGGCCGCGGCCCTGCGACTGGGAAGCCGCCCCACACTGCCCCCGCGGACGCCAGAAACCGCTCCTGAAGTCCGCCCGCCGAGACCCTGTCGCGACACCTGGAGGCCCCCTGGGGACTCCCGAGGTCTCTGGGGCTTCCTGAGGTTTCAAGCAGGAGATCGACTGCAGAATGGATGTATCCCTGAATCTTCTGTTCGTCCAACCTACGAAAATGCGTCGTATCACCACCCATCAAACCACCCCAACCCGACCCGAAGGCTCAGATTTACCCTCGATTTCCAGTGGGGGGGAGGGGTCGGGAAACATTGAGAAAAACAGATGTGGAGCCCTTACCCCCCCCAACCCGAAATTCGGGTCTTCGGGTTGGGTTGGGGTGGTCTGGTAGGTAGTCATCGTAGGGTCGACGAACAAATCAACTGTCGTGTTCAATCGAAGGTCGGTCTGCGGGGCGTGCGCCGCCGCGAAGGTCTCCATGTGGGATCTCCGGGCGGGCCCCCTGCTGGGCCTCCCCCTGGGGATGCTCCTGGAGGTTCCACTTGCCATTTTTTGTTTTTCTGGGGTGGTAGAGGGGGGGCTATCCCAGGGTGGGGATGGAGGAAGAACCCAGCTGGATGCTCGCAGTTTTTCTTCCAGGAGCCCTGTGTACACCTTAGGCGATGCTTAAGAAAACATAAGTTTTCGGCCAGAGTCTCGATTATTCTTAACGTTTCAGTGTAAATCTTAAGATTTTGATAGAAGTGTTGGGTTTTTATTCAAGTTCGGAGACTATGAATTTCTTAGCCCATGATTTCTTAAGCATTTCGCAGGGTGTATATCGACTTCCCTCTACCCCCACCTCCGCCCCGAAGTACCCCACCCTTACGCCCCTCCCAGTGTCTTTGCATGCGGCGAGCTGGGTCCGGCAGGGCGACTCGGCCCACGGCAGGACGCGCCGGAAGCGAGCGAGCACGCGCGCGGGAGGGCGAAGGGGATGATGATGAGGAGGAGGAGGAGGAGGAGATGGAGGAGGAGGAGGAGGAGGAGGAGGAGGAGGAGGAGGAGGAGGAGGAGGAGGAGGAGGAGGAGGGGGTGGGGGCCACGAAGCGGCCACAGCGCCCTCGGAGCAGGGAGTTGTCGGGGTCAGGCGGCGGTTCAAAGATGGGGCCCTCAGGGAAGGGGTTCTATGGGTAGGGACGCGGTCAGTGCGCATGCAGAAGCATCGCCGATCCAGGGTAGGGAAAGGGCGGCATTGTGTGTACAGGCAGGGCCTGCCATCTACGATCCCTCGCACATCGAGCCTCGAGGTCTGCGCCCCCCCCCGCCGGCCAGGTGGACCCGGGGCCCATCCCGGACCACCTGCGGCCGTCCGGTGCGCGGCCGCCGGCGCCGTCGTCCAGGCCGCTGGCGGGTCAAGCCGAGGCGCCGCCTGCCGCGGCGAAGGCGCCGCACGCCGCCAGCGCGTGGGCGAGGAGGGAGGCCCAGAGCTCCATCGCTCTGGGTATGGATCTGCCCCGAGGTTCTGGCGGAAGTGCTCCACAGGAGAGGTCCAGGGGGGCGTTTTGGGGTCAGAGACCCACACATCAAACGTCATGAGTGGATCGAGGCTGAGGGTTTTCCATACACACATATCGGTCTATGTAAATATGTATATCTATATACGCCTAAATAAATATGTATACCTATGGATTCGAACATCTACGCATCTATACGTATCTGTACTTATATATATATATATATTGATACGGGTCGTCTGTTTTCAGGCTCTTGGCGCCATGGAAAAAGTGATTCAGGATGAACAGATGGCTTTTGGAAAGGTGTCTACGGGCCTTGGGGTCACGGCTTGAAAACGTCAAGGCGTTGGAACTCTGGCGAGATGTTTTCTCAGGTTTTCAGGTCATTGGGATTGTGCCATCTGTTGTGCCTCGTCGAAAGCCATCAGGAGAGCTCGAAGTCGTCGCGAATTGCCCTTGAGGTCCGAAGATTTCGACGATTCGCGGGCTCTGGTCGCGATTTTGTGTTGGTCTACGGCGTGGAATCGCGGGGGAGGAGAGGACGCAGGGGTGAGGAATATGAAGGCGAGGAAGACTTCACGAGGGCGAGGGCAAGGATAACTGACGTTGACGTCGTAGGGCAGGAGGAGTAGGAGGAAGAGCCGGAGGCACGACGGCGTGTATAGCATGTATTGAGGGACGCACGAGCATGTGTTTGACTCCTGGATGCTTGAACTTGAAGATCGGTTTCTGTTCTGGGGTTGAGTTCGTGGCGTGTCGCGCGTGCAGGCAAGGTGACGACTTGCCGTAGCCTCCTGCTCTTCCTGCTTCTCTTACTCCACCCCCTTCGCCTCCCCTCTCCCCTCACCCAATCGCTTCCCCCCGCCCTCCCCTTACCCACTTCGGCCCCTCTTCCTCCTGGATATCTGTCTCCTTCATCAACGTCTACTTCTCATCCCCCCTCCCCCTCCTTCTGCTCCATCCCCTCATTCTTCTCGTGTCTCTTCCCCTCCTCCTGTGCAGTTCGACTACTCTCTCCTTCCCGCTCTCTACCCTTGTTCGCCAATGGGCGACCAGCCAGCCTGTTGGTCAAATTCGCACTTCCTCTGTTGCGGCAATGATCTCCTTCTCGCCGCGTGCTCAAAGGCACGGGCGGGCGGGCGGGCTCCCTGGCGGAGCGCGCACGACTCTGGCGCTCGCCTCGAGTCCTGCTTCCCCCGCCAGTCTCCCCTCTTCTTCCCGCCCCGGTCGATGGAGCCACTGCAGCTGCTCCTGGCAGTTGCGCTCGAACGCCGCCTGGGCCTCCAGCATGACCTTGTGGCCTTCCTCGCACATATGGCGGAGATTGGCCTGGGCTTCCTCCTCCAGCTCGCTGAAGTTCTCGAGCGTCCGCCCGCTCCTGCTGCCGGAGCCCCCGACACCCGTTCCCCGGCTCCTCCGCCCTCTTTGCTCGCCCGCGCCTCTCGACTGTGTTCTTCCCGGGGGCCCGCCCCTTCGAGGACCCCACGCCTCCGTCGCATCCGTCCGTGTCATACTTCGTCGTTCGGGGGTGGACAGAACCCCCAATAGTGACACGTCGATTAGTGAATTGTCCGTTTTCGGTTCTCGAGAGGGCGCCGTGGCCGTTGTTTTCCAGGCTTGCGCCCGCCAGGCTTGGGCCTCAGGTCGTTTTCACTAAACCACGTTTTACTAAAGGGGGGTCTGTCCATCCCCGAGTCGTGCTTTCAGGCTACTGATTGCAGTCATTGCGCTGATATGAGGACCATCCCGGGCTCAGGAGGGGTTCCGTCGGGCCGTTCATGATTCCTTCCTGTATAGGTCAAAGGTCGGGGAGCCACCCCGTGGCCGAGGCTCGCCGTGGCCACAAAAGCCCCTCTGTTTCTCATTCAGCGCCTCCGATGGTAGCGTGATCACTGTACCTCACCTTGCCCATTTCATCTGTCGCCCGCCCTTTGTGGGCCCCGGAAACGGCAGGGCCGTTTGTTCACCGTTTCCCAGAAAAAGTGTCTCTTGAAAATGGAAACGGCAAAAAAACGGCGACCGGAAACGGCAAAAAACGGCTCCAGGATCGGAACTGGAGCCGGAACCGGTCAAACAATGGCGACGGAACCGGCAAAAAATTTGCGTCGGAACCGGCAGAAAAACGGCGAAACGGAACCGGTAAGAAAACAACCCTGCCGTTTCCAGGGCCCACTAAGCGCCCGCCCACGCGACGCGAGGAGAAGAGGGGCGAGAAGCGCGACAGGCACGACCGGCACGACAGGCGTGACAGGCGGGGCGAGAACGGTCGCGGCGGTCACGCCAAGAAGGCCAGCGTTCCTGCCACGAGGGAAGGAGCAGAGGCCTTCGGAGAGAAGTACACGGGATTCTGCGGGAGGGAGGGAGGGCTCGTCGCCACGGTTGGGCGCAGCTCGAAAGGGAATGACGTTGAACGTATTGTGAGGCATGGGCAAGAATGTACCGGTCCCGTTGCCAGGCCCTCGTGTTTGCCTCTGCAGGCCTACTGGGGGGCCCTCGTCGCCACGTTTGGATTCGCCTTGAATCCTGGTTGCACCGCACAGTAGGAGAGAACAGGGTGTAGCGGGGTCGTGTTTGCTGGTGCTCCTCCAATTCGGAGCACTCTCGATCGTGATCGTGGCTTTTTGGATGTGGTGACTGCTGGAGGGCGGGGCCGCTTCCGTCGGCAGGAGCGCTGCAGAGGCTGCAAGGCGGCTGTGGCACTGATGCTCCAGCTCATTAGCCGTGTGGGCCACGTTCTTGTCGGGGGAGCGTAAGACCCGGGTTTGCCGGGACTCGGGTTCGCCATCGTTTTTTGACGACCGCGCCTCGGATTTTGACGAGGAGGAGTTTCGTGGGACGTCTGCAGCGGGAGGCCTCGTCAAAATGCAGGCTCGGCCTCGTCATTTTTTTGACGACCTCGTCGGGCCAACCCGAGTCCCCCGTACCCGGGTCTTACGTCTCCCCGATCTTGGTCAGCGACAGCAAGGATCAACGAGCGACGGTCGTATCTATATCCTTGCCCTCGCAGTCTGGACTCCAAGGCGGGATCTCACGGAGACTTGATCCCATGTGAACGCTCCGCGCGGGATATCCGCGCAGTGCCGCCATGTGTCCACGGGGGCGCGGCCGAGGGGGGCTCAAAGGATGGCATGCGTTTGCGAAGTCGTGTCCTGGTGCCTGGTGTCCTCTACTCTTCGGCAAGGGCTCCCTCGAGGGCGCGAAGTTATTCGCGCTTCGCGGTCCTCGTTCCTTCTCCCCCTCCTCCTCGTCCTCCTATTCTCCCTTTGGGAGGGCGGCGCGAGAGCGCGAAGTTATTCGCGCTTCGCGCTTCGCGCAGCGCGAAGCGCGAAGTTGGGAGCCCTAGCTTCGGCCAATCTTTGAGAACAGTTCTGGACGTCCAGAGGTTGGCATCAGGAAAGGGGGCTGGATGAGGCGGAGATCGGGGATGAGAAAGGTGGCGTTCGAAGGTCATCCGCGCCTTCCCCTCATCTTCCCCCACAACTACTCAACATGCTACTATTCTTTTATTTTCCCTGACAGTGGTTGGGGAGTGGAACGATCCCCCTACGCGTATGGCTTTCCAACAGCAATTCAACCGTGAATATTTCAATGTCCTTTTCGAATCGGAGTGTTTTCGGTGTCTCAAAACGCTGCTGCCGCTGCAGCTCGGGCCTAAGCTTAGGATCGGCACTTTGTTCCCATCGTTCAGTAACGCGTTCTCGCCCCAGGACGGGCCACGTTTCTTGATCCGAGTGTCTTCTCTTCGTCGTCGCCCGGCTCCTTTCCCCCGTCCCCGGCCTCCCCGTAGTCATCTTGTTCCCCTCGCTCCTCCCACTCCAGCTCTTGCTGCTCATCCTCCTCATCCTCCTCCCTCCTCCTCCTCCTCCTCTTCGTCCAGCTCAGCTTCTTGCTCATCCGCCCTCTCCTTCAATGTACGCAGCTATCCTTTTCCGATTGCGCATGACACGATGTGGTGCCTTTTGGAACTCAAGGTCCGCTATGGCACGCGTCGGCGGGTAGAGAATATAAATCAGCGCAGCGGGAAGGGATGGGCAGGAGGGTAGGATGTCACGCATGGCGAGAGCGCACCTAGCTTGGCTCCTCTCTTTCTCGTTCCTCTCTCTCCCTCTTCCGTTTCACTTCCCGCCCAGTAGTTCCGTGATGTTCTTCTTGTTTTCCAGCTCCTCATCGCCGATGTTTTATCCTCATCGTCAATACATCTTCATCCTCCCCTCTGTCTCCCGCGTCCTGCTACCCCTTTTCCTTCTCCCTCTCCCTCTCCCTCTCCCTCCGATCTACCCCTGTTTCCGTCCTTGATTCCGTTGTTGTCTCTTCCTCTCTCGTTTTCTGTGATCGTACTCTCTCATTTTCAAATATGCATAGCCATCCCCCTTTCTTCTACAGAGGGTTTAGACCACTCGCAAGTACACATCCCCCGTAGTTTGTTTGGTAAGTCAGCGCACCATTCATATGCACATACGACTAATCATGTTATAGTCATTCAAATTTATCATCTTCCCATCCCTCTTCAGACGTGTGTATACCTCTCGCTCTGTCGCAGTATCCCACCAGCTCCTGCGAACAAGTACACACATTTACGCACATACTTTTATTCGAGCCATGGAGCTATATGAGATCGGGTGCGCTCCCTCCGTATACCTTTGATTGTCCGCACTCTACCTCTCTGTCTCTCCTATTTCCCCTGTGATGTGCACATGTGTGACCTATCCTGATACTGCTGCTCCTCAGCCCTCCGTGTGTACCACAATCCGATTCGTTCTTACTTCGCCGTCTTCGCCTTACATGCCATCCTCCTTTACGTCTTCCGTGTCTTGGCCATCCTGCCATTCATCGTACTCCATGTCCTCGTCGTGCCCCTCGCAGGCATCTTCCCCCTCTCTCCTCGCTCCTCCTCGTCACTTTCCTCCTAAGTCTCATCCTCTCCCCACCCTTGTTATGCAGCCTCTCTTCGTCGTCGGTCTTCTCTTCGTTTACCCTCCCTATCCACCCCCTCATCATCATAGACCCCTTCTCTCATCGGCTGTCCCCTAATCCGTTTTATTCTCCCTCTTCCTTCCTCCTCGAGTGCCCTCATTCCTCTCCTTGTCCCTTTCCTCCCCCCCATCATCAGTCACCCTGCCTCCTACCCCTCCCCCTTGTCCTCTTCTCCCCTCCCATCCCTCCCATTCCTCTCCGCCTTACCATATTCAGATTCCACCTCCCCTCTCGGATATCCTCCTTTCCTCTCTCCTCTGTCTTCGCTGGTATGTCCTTTTCCTTCGTCCAGCGGTCCTTCTCCGCATCAGCCTTTTGGTTTCGTCTTCTTCGTTTCCTGCTTGAGAATTATCCTTCTTCACATGGTACTCGTACTCTTCCTCCTCTATCTCTCTCTCTCTCTCTCTTGCTCTCTCTCTCTCTCTCTCTCTCTCTCTCTCTTCGTACTCCTGGTGCATTCTTCCTATTATCCTCGCCTCCTGCGCCCCGGTAGTCCCTACAGCTCCTCGGCCGCAGAGTTCCCGTCGGCCCCCCGCGGGAGCCTTGTGCAGGCGTTCGCTCGGGTCACCAGAGAGAGACCGGGGGAGGCGACCTGACCCGAGGGGGGGATGAAGAGAATGGCCCCAGCGGGGCCCTCTAGGGCCCTTCTCTTCACCCCCATTCAGGTCCCCCCCCCCACTACTACCCGCCCGAGCGGACCGCGGGCCGTGCTCTGCGAGGGGTCCGTCCGCGACCAATTCGGCGCGGCGGCCCCATCTCGGGCGCTGGGCGATGGCCACCCCCGGCAGCAGTGGGCACCCGCGACCTGCAGCGGGTGGTCACTCCGGGTCGCGCCGAGCCGGGGCAGCTGCGCAGCGCCCGTGCAGATGCCGGGTGTCTCACGAGGCGCGCACCCCTTTGAAGGACGGGAGCGGCGACGGGGCGGTCGCGCACACCGAGCTGGACGAGAGCAGCGTTGCGGCTGCATGCAGCGGTTCGCCGAGGGTCGGAGGGCGCGAGGCGCAAAAGGGTTCAAGCGCACCCTGTCTGTGCAGATGGGGCGGGGCCACCGCAGGCTGCGGCGCGCCATTCTGCGCAGCGCCGAGGCCTCGCGCCGCCTCGGCGTGGCGGGGCCGCAGCGCGGCCGCGGAGCCCGACGCGCCCGCGGCCTCGACGCGGGACGCTCGCTGGCAGGCGTCGGGGCCGCCGCGGGGCTCTGCCCGTGACCCCGCGGGCCTCTCTTTCTCGCGGCGGGGGCGACGGCCGGCCCCCGCGCGCCGGGGCCCCTGCGAGAGCACACCCTCGAGGACCGACTGGAGCCGAAGGGGTCGCGCGAGGGGCGCCGCGCCCGCTCCCGCCGTCGCCTCGCGGCAGGCGGGCGGCCGCGCAGGGGCGGGAGGGGCTCGCGCAGCCAAATTTCAAATGTGCTCGATGCTGCTCGAGGCGGAGCCCCGTTTCCTGCATGCTGACGCTGCCGATGCATCGCCGACGTTGCGTCGCGATGCATCGGCGATGCATCAGCGATGCCTCGGCGATGCGGCGAGATCCTCCGACCCCATCTGCTCGGACCCCATCTAGGAGGCCTCTTACGTACGCGCCGCCGCTCCGCCCCTGGGGAGGAGAGCGCGTCGCGCGACGGACACCGCGCTCGTCGGCGCTCGCCGTCGCGGCCAGGCGAGCCTCGCCGATCGCTAGCGCAGCCGCGCGGCCTGCGCGCTGGGCGGGCCCACCCACGCTGGGCCCCCCGCGTGCGCGCGCGCCGCGGCCGCCGCGCAGAGGTCGCGCTCGTGCGCCGATGCGGGAGAATTCTTGTCGTGGTCCGTGCGTAGTTCCTCATTCCCGCCGCCTCGCTCCGCTCCTCGGCGGCAAACCCAACAAATATAGGAAAATATGGGGAATCCTGGGATTTGTGTGATGTTATGGGTGTGTCCCTGGGCCCCTTCAGTTACACCCTCCTCGTTCCGGTCGGCAGGCCGTCGGGGGGCCCCGGCTGCTGGCGGCTGGCAGGTGAAGGTGAGGGCCTGTGCGGCACCCCGGGGCGACCCGTGGCCCCCCAGGGTTTTCCCGAGGCATCATGTCGGGGCTGGACAGAACCCCCAACAGTGACACGTCGATTAGTGAACTGTCCGTTTTCGGTTCTCGAGAGGGCGCCGTGGCCGTTATTTTCCAGGCTTGCGCCCGCCAGGTTTGGGCCTCAGGTCGTTTTCACTAAACCACGTTTTACTAAAGGGGGGTCTGTCCATCCCCGATCATGGGTGCCAGGCAAGTACCCCAGACAGAACCAACAGCTGACGTGTTCGGAGGCGCCCCCAGCGCATCGGCAACAGGCGTTGCCACGCCTGGGTCGGCCGGTCCAGAACGATTGAACGCTTGGCGGGGCACGCGATGCCGCGCGAAACTAGGCGCGGACAAATAGTATGAATCGACACCGAAACGCAACGGAGGTGATACGTACATGCGGGCGACGGCGAAGAGAGCAGGAGAAGGGAAGGAGCATGGCGAAGAACAGGATTGCCAAGGCCGTTGGCCATGGCGCGGACGGGACAGACGGCGGGATGGAGGGCGACGAGAAAAGATGTGGGATGGATGATGACGGAACGCTGTTGTTGCGGACATCGATCTTAGAGGAGTTCGTTCATGCTTACCATTTTAGCCAGCATCATTAGCCTCTGCGCTGCGCCTGTCTGTGCGGACACTGGTTTCACAGGCACGCTTCCGGGCCCGCGGGTTGTCCCCGCTGGAGAAGTCCGTGTTGCGTCGACGATGGCGAATCTGGTCCTCGAGGTGCAGCCAGCGGACGTCAACATGATCCTCGTCTCTGTACCTGGCGCCGGTGACGTTCGTTTCGGGTATGCTCCAGCGCTGGCAGGCCGTGGGCACGAGAGCTGTGATGTGGACACGCCTTCGCGCGATCCCGCACGCCCCACGGGGAGCAATGGTACGCATGACAGCCCCCAGGGAGGCGAGGCGCCGCATTGGTATGGAACATACCCGATGTCCGCCAGACCCCACGCGAGGTCACGCAAAGGAGCCACATTCGCCAACCTTACAGCACCCAGTGAGGCTCGGTTCTGTTCTGGACAACTTAAGACCGCCCCCTGGTGGGCCCCAAACGACCTCACGAACGCTTCGGTGGTTGTGCAGTTGGTCTCGCCCAGGGGAGCAGCAGCGATGTTGAATTGGTCCGCTGCTGGCGTGGCCACATCGAGCAACGCAGAACATCGCAGGGGAGAAGCGGGAAGGATGCAAGGTGAGGTGGGATGTGCAAGGAATGGGCGAGAAACGTGCAGGAGGCCGGGAAACATTCCTGGAGCCACATTCCGGTGGATCCCTCACGAAAGCACGAAATTCACGACAGATGCTCAGCAAGCAAACGTCGGAACGGCGAGTTTGTTTCCGGGTTTGGGTACGACTGCACCCCGCTTGACACCCCCGCGAGCTTCACATCACGACATGCGCTAAACTTGCCACGCCCAAGGAGGCTTGGTCTCGTCTTGGTGAGAGCGGGTCGTCTTGGTTCCCCCCGTGATGTTAAGAAAGTTACGACATGCGTGCAGCTCGCAGCACCGAGGGACGCGAATGGTTGGCAACGTGTGGGCGAGGCCGCACCAGCCGCACTGGCCGCACTCCACTGGAACCCCACGGGGTCACGCAAATTGTGATACTCTCGCAGTCCACGGCGCCGATGGAGGCGAGGTCTCGTAATCGTATGGGTAAGACCGCACCCCGCTGGACCCCCATGAGCTCCAATATGTGTCAGCAGTTGCGCCACTGGCAGCACTCGTGGAGGCGCGGCGTCTTGTGAGATCGGACAAAGCCAGAGATCACTTGCTCACGAAGGCTGCGGCTTTCGAAGGCTGTGGCAGTTGGCCAAGTGCCCAAATGGAAGTCGCCAGTTGCCGCAACTGGCGAAACCCAGAGACGTGGGGAGAGAAGAGGGACGGGGGAGAAGGAGGAGAGAGGCGGGAAGGAGGGGGAGGAGGAGGAGGAGGAAATAAGAAGAAATGACACATGGTAGTGAGTTGTTCGACATGCGTGCCCAACCATCAGATGATTGGGGGAAACCTCGGTCTTCGATCCCTGCCCTCCCTCTTCAGCGCTCTCCCTTGTCACCCCCCTCTCTCTCAGGAGGGGACAAAAACAAACAGACAAAATTCATCGACGATCCCAAGGAAAATATAGGAAAATATGGGAAGTGGGGGGGAAGACAAAAATCCAGAAAATATGGGAAAATCTGGGGAATCTTTTTGTTTGTGTGTATTTATTTGTGTGTCCTGGGGCCCTTTTACTCTCGTCCGTTCTGTTCCTTGGCCCAGCCCTGCCTCCGCGGCCGCAGGAGGAGCCGCCCGCGCCTGCCGCGCCCACGACGCCGCCGGCGCGGGAGCCGCTGCCACAGCCGGGGCCGAGCAGGCCGATGCCGCTGCCCCGCCCCGCTGCCGAGTTGCACGGTGGGGTTCGCCAAGTGTCAGGGAGGAAAGAAGCACACAGACACAATCAATCGTCGACTCCCCAGAAAATATGGGAAAATATGGGAAGTGGGGGGGAAGACGAAAACCCAGAAAATATGGGGAAATATGGGACATGTTGTTATGTGTGTGTGTATTTATTTGTGTTTCCCAGGGCCCCTTCAAAGTGTGCAGCCCTCGTCGGCGAGCGAGGGGGGGAGCGGAGAGTGGGCGGGCCTTCTCAGAAGCCTCTGAGAAGTGTCCTAATGCTTTCCCGAAGATGCGCCGAACATTTCTCAGAAGGCTTGGGGGCCTCTGAGAGGTCCCGCCGCCTTCTGAGAAGGCCTTCTGCTTCTCACTGCCCCCCTTCGCTCGCCGCCGATGGTAGCCAGCGTTTCCAGCGCTGGAGACCAGATTTTGTTGCGCCCTGCGCTTGTTCCGATGGTCTTGGCATCGCTCGGACGCGTGCATTTTTTTTTTCCGGCGAGGATCCTCGAGGAGCATCCTGGACCATCTGGCCAAACAACCACGCACGGAACCGAAACAAAAGCACGAGTGGGCGTCCGAGCGCTGGCCAGTGGTGCGCTCTGGCGGCCTCGCCTTCTCCGCGCGCGGCGCTTCCGCTGGTGTGGCGCAGGTCGGCAGACCGTCGGAGCCCTACACCTTAGACGATGCTTAAGAAAACTTAAAGTTTCGGCCAGAGTCTCGATTATTCTTAACGTTTCAATGTAAATCCTAAGATTTGAATGGAACTTTTGGGTTTTTATTCGAGTTCTGAGACTATGAATTTCTTAACCCATGATTTCTAAAGCATTTCGCAAGGTGTAGGAAGGAAGCTGGAGGGCAAGATGCCGACGAACGATGCTGTCTCTGTTCGCGCTTGGTACTCCAGAGTTCGTAGTAAAAGGGAGGGGGGCACAACCCTCCCAGGCGAGAAGTTTCAGACCCTCCCAGACTATCCATGACAGGGCGGCCCTCTGCCCAGACCCCCCCGAACCCTCCAGGACAGCTCGAATCAGACCCCCCCCGAATGTGACCCCCCCACTTTGTTATGGAATCCGGAGAAGGTAGTTGCCGGAAGGCAATGGACACTAATCCGCTTTTCAAAAAGTCACCGTGGCCTGGGAAGCGCCTCGACCTGTGTGCAGCCAAGGGCACGTCAAGACGCCCGCGGCGGCTCGATCATGTGTCAGGGCCCATCCTTTGGAGCGGGCGAGTGGGGAGGGAGGGAGGACAGGGGACGTGAAGGATGGGGCGGAGCAAGGGGGCGGAGGATGGGGGTGGAGCAGGGCATTGGGTTAGTTTTGGGGTAAGTGGTCAGGAGGAGTGGAGGTGGAGGCAGGCTGTACGAGATTTCCTGGAGGCCTCTGGACACCGAGAAGCGTTCCAAAGCACTGATCGTCCTCCTCGTCTTTCTCCTTCGGCCATTTGTCCTCCCCCATCGAGGAGGACAGGAGGGGATGCTGTCGGGCGTTCGGCCCCGAGGCCTGGATAAAGTTAGGATCGGGAGCGGGCTTAGGATCAGGAGGGAGTGGAGGATTAGGATGAGGATTCGGATCGGGAAGGTGTGCAATGAGAAGGAGGATTAGGACTGGGAAGGAGGAGCAAGAGCAGGAGAAGGAGCAGGAGCAGGAGCAGGAGCAGGGGCAGGAGGAGGGGAAAGGAAGGGTGGCGGCAACGACGAGGAACGTGCCGGATCCAGATATGCGGCCCAGGGTGAGAGCACCATTCTGAACGTCGGGATCAAATCACCGATCTTGAAGTGTGACCACCATTACAGCGACAGCGCCGTGCTTGAAGGATCCGAGCCAAAGCGTAGGAACACATGAAAATATGTGTTGTGTGCGTGGGCACGAATAACACGCGAAAGCGAGAAGGATGGGATTGCCAGTGGGCAATGCCACCTGTGACATCGATGCCATCAGCGCGCAGCCCCGAGGTGGAGGAAAGGATGTAGGTGAAAGAGAAAAGGGATTGAGGATGGACGCAGAAGGAGGTGGGGGTGGGAGGAGGATGCCGGAGTGGGATGGGGCGGGTAGAAGCGAGGAGGATGGGTTCAGATTCGCACTTGGGTGCAAGGGCGGGACCTCGTACCGCCCTCGAACCGGAGGAGGTATGAGGATGTAGGAGGTAGATATCGAGCAGGAGCAGGAGGTTGATGAAGAGGAGAAGGGCGAGAAGGGCGAGGAGGAGGATGTGGATGAGGACAGCGACGACGTCGAGTTCTTTCGTCGGTGGCTCCGACCTGGCCTCCTATGCGAGGAGGAGGATGAATTCGAGTGAGACTTGGATGACAACAGCGTGGGTTCGGAGGGGGACGAGGCACAGGAACTACGTGACACCCCTTCGCGTTGCTCCCCCTCCATTTCCCTGATCCTCCGTCCTTGTCCTCCTTGTCATCCTTGTCCTCCTGCCTCCAGTCTCCCTGGTCGTCCGCCTCCCCGTCGTATGGCTGCCTCCAGGCTCCTCCCCCCTCCTCGTCCTCTTCTCGTCATTCTTTCCTTCATCCATCTGTTCCCCGGGGTCCTGGCCCTCCCCGGCCCTTTCACTCGTCGCCCTCCTCGTCCTCGTTGCCCTCCTCGTCGTCCTCAGGGGCGCGCCGGCTCCAGCCAGCGGCCCCAGGCCGCCGGCGCCGTCGGCGTCCTCCCTCCTGGCTCGGTTCCAGAGCCTGACGACGTTCCCGGGCGGCGAGCCGGAGCCAGAGGAGGGTGCCGACGCCGACGACGACCCGACGACGATGACGATGACGACGCCGAGGACGACGCCGACGCCGACAACGACGACGAAGGCGCCGACGCCGCCGACGACGCCGACGACGCCGACGACGACGACGGCGACTGGGCGGCGGGCGGAGGGGACCTCGCCTCGTAGCTGCCGCCCTTCCTCAAAGGAGGGAAAGCCACCCCGACCCCCATAAGGCAGCTCTGCTTTTCACTGTGGCCTAGGTCTTTGGCGCCTGCGTGTGCGGGCTGGCGCGCCCGCGTGGACGAGGTGTCACACTGTGTGTGGTTCTGCTGGTAGAGAGCACGGCATCCCACAATGCTTGTTTCTTGGCGTGCTCTGGGTTTGCACTGGCACAGCGAGAACGGCTTGCCAGTAGAGGTGAATGATAAGATTCCCGCCCCCCCCCTATTATTGTCTTTTACTGAGAAGCACTATCCTGCCTGATCATTCCCGTAGGTACGTTTACTGAAGTGCCTTGCATGTCGGGGTTCTTATTGTGGTGGTGGGTCTTCTGCCCCCTACATCTCCGCATTCCTCCCTTGGATGATCGAGGATCCTCGACTCTTAGATCATCGATCGTTCTCATCGATTATGCTGCTCTTACTCCTCGTTCCTTCATCTCTTCATCTTATTCCTCTCCCTCGAGTTTCTCTCCTCCTTCGTTGGTAAGTACAGAGCTCCAGAGCATTAGCTGTCAGTCTTGTTTTTGTCAAGGGATTTCAGGCACCGCTTCGGGGAGCCCCGATTGAATCGTTCTACGGCCTGGAGCCGAACGTCTGAGTCTGAAGTCGAAGTCCTACGGTTCAAAACTCGGGCCGGGGGGCTACGAGTCTCGATCCTCTGTCTCAATCCTCATCAAACGCTCCGGGCGTCGACGTCTTCGTTTCGGGGGTTATCAGGCTTTTGGTGGTTTTCGCTTCCACGGCTGGGCGCAGCCCGAACGTCGGGCCAGGATTGTTTCCTTAATGGGGTCAGGGGGCCCATGTCGAGCCAGTCTTAGGGGAGGGAATTGGATCAGACAAGAAAAGCGCTGCAGATTGTTGGAGAAGCAAATGAAGAGAGGACGATCTGGAGGAGGAGGAGGAGGAGGAGGACGGCGACGACGCGGGAAGAATTGCAGGGATATTGGAAGCACTGCGTTACAATGGGATGCTGGAACAGGACACTTCAGGAATTGTGGAATATGGGATGGTTCTACGTGCGAGGCTCACCTGGACCCTTCACGAATGCAGACAGCAAAGGACGGATCCTAGACCTTTGGAGTTGTAGCAGAAGAGGTGGCATCGATGGTTTCATTGGAATTGGATCTGCCAGGGGTCTGGTCGCCTCATATCAGACTCAAAGAGACCTCTCCTTGCAGAAAGGGAATTCTCCAAGGCAGAGTACTGATTTCCTTGGCTCCGATTGCCATGGCGATGGCCAGATTGCCATGGCGATGATTTCAACTAGGCCCATACAAGTACATGTACATGATGAGCATTCGTTTTTGACTGAGGCGACCAGCCTCGATCTGAATACACCATGCGCTGCCTTTTTTTGCGATGGAGGAGGGTCGCCACTTCGCCAAGGCGAGATACATCCACTCGCTCCTCAATCGCTGCGACATGATCCTGATCACCGAGGCGCACGGGACCTCCGGCCAGCACAAAAAGCTTGGAGGCCTCCTGCGGGCACTTCGGCACGGTGGTCTGCCGGACCTACCACAGGGCACGCTGGCATCGGCATCATCGCGAAGAACGGGCTCCTACAGAGGTTCCAACACGTCCGATGGCAGGTTATATGGCCTGGCCGGGCTGGTAAATTGGCCCTTCGAGGGCGGGATGGGGCCTTGGACGTGATTGTCAGTTATTTTCATTCCGGCGCGGACATCCAAGAAGCAGATCTTTATGATGTACCCCAAGAGCTCCGAGCCCGGTGAACGAGCTTCCCTGCCTTGCGGGAGGTGCTGCGGAACCGCCTCAGCCAGCACGTCGCCAGCCCCACGACTACGCTCACCATATTGGGCGGCGACTTCAACTTGGTGCCAGACGAGGTGGACCGCCGATCGGGTTCCACAGCTGCTGTTTCGGGTCGCCGGGACCATGGTGAAGAATCGCACTTTCAATCCGTACTCGGTTATCCTTTCAAGCTCCACGAGATGCACCAGGCAGAGATGACCTTCGCTTCGAGTTCAGCCCGGTCTAGGCTGGACCGCTTGTATTGTAATCAGCACGTTGCGGAACAGCTAGACAGGGATATCAAGGCAGTTGTATTGGAGTGGGAACCGCATTTATCTGACCATCGCGCTGTTCTGTTTTCCCGCCGTCTTCCACACCGTCTTCCTGAACACGAGCGCCCTTTGTCCATGGACGATATACACCACGAGGATTTCGGTAGGCTGGTGCGGCTGGAGTACCAGCAATTTCTTCGGCAGCATCCTCAAGCCAGAGGTCTTCGAAAGGTCTAGTTGCTTAAACAAGCCATGAGGAGTGCGGGCTCTCAGCTCGATCGGGGCCCGGGGCACTATGCTGAGGCGCTGACCTTGGAGGACCGCTTGGGCGTCACGATGCGCTTCCTTAGGGCGGCTGAGACCAGCTCCATGGGAACGCTGTCGATGCGCAGGTCTCGCGACCCCCGGCTCCGGGAGTTCTTTTGGACAACCCTTCTGACACTGCCTGCCACACGACACGTCTCTTGCAACCGGTCTGTGACCACGCAGTTGACTTGGCTAGGGAACGCGCTCTGGACGAGCTTGGCAAGGCCACTGTAGAACTCAAGGGAGGGGAAGAAATCGCTGCGAGAAGGCGCAAGAAGAAGGCCACGCAGTTGCTTTACCGACTGCTGCCAAGGAAGGGGGGCGGCATTCGAGCAATCCGGGGCGCCGGAGGCGAGCGCCTCACCGAGCCCGCTGCAATGGCCGGGGCGCTTCGGGACCATTGGGGGGGCGTGTTCGCTGGCCGAGGCATCAACGCTGAGCTGTTGCAGCAGTGGCTGGACGAGGACGCGGCCCACCGGGATGAGCGCAGTCTTGGACACGAAGCCGTGCGCCAGATTCGTCTTCGCAAGCACCACCTCCGCAGCGCCATTCTGGCATCCAACAACTCCGCCCCGGGTCCAGATGGCATCCCGTATTTTGCGGCCTGGAGGTGCGTGGGGGACATTGCGGTGGACGTCCTTTATGAAGCTTTTCATCAAATCTGCAGCGACGACGCCCCTGCCCACATCGATGCCGAATACCCCGATTTCAATTCCAGCATCCTCATGTTCCTCCCGATAAAGGGTGTCGGAGTGACGGGCGACGGGGAGGAGCTCTTCGACCCGGGAGGCGTGCGCCCGCTCAAAATCACGAGCGCGGACAATCGGCTTTTGGCAAGCGCATGTCGTTTCATGTTGGAGCCAGTGCTAGGCCCCTTGATTATCGACGACCAGCGAGGGTTGATCCAAGGCCGCTCAATGATCAGCAATATCGTCGACGTGGACGAAGCCATGCTGGAGACGGCGGCGCAAACGGAAGGTGGAATGGCATTATTCTTCGATTTCGCCGCGGCCTTCCCCTCGATCGAACACCAGCTGCTGATGAGCTTCTTCCGTCGTCTGGGATGGCCCAGCTGGCTGCTAAATTTCATCGGCGGCCTTTACAGGAACAACAACTGCGAGTTGGGCATGGCTTGTGGGCGTTACCTAGGTTTCTGGTTATCCAGAGGCATCCGCCAGGGCTGCCCGCTGTCGCCGTTGCTCCACGCTGCCTGCTCGGACTTGCTGCTTCGCCGGCTTCGACGATTATTTCCGGGCGCCGCCGCCCGGGCTTACGCCGACGATCTCGCGCTGGTGCTGGCGAATGCGCGGGCGCACCTCGGCAGTCTGCAGCAGTTCTTCGACGAGTTTCGCCGGATTTCGGGCTCGGGGCTGAACGCGCAGAAAGCAGTGGTAGCCCCTACGGATCTATTTGGCGAGGAGCGAGCGCGGGCTGCTATCAGCGCTTGCGCGCCTGGCTGGGGAGGAATCGTGGCGGCCGCGGCGGCGAAATACCTGGGCGTCTACATCGGCCCCGGTCGCGGGCAGCTGTCTTGGGAGCCCCATCAGTAAATATTTGACGCGAGCCAGTCAGCGGGGACAAGTGGGCGCAGGTCTCCTTATTTCTAAAGGCGTACCGAGTGTACATTGCATCCGTCCTCTTATTTGTGGGGCAACTAGAAGTGCTGCCGCATGACTTCGCGCGCACAGAAGCCGCAGCTTGCCGACGGTTATTCCGTGGCCCGATGGATTGGATCACCACCGGCGCCCTCCGTGAACTCCGCACTCAGGGCAGCGCAGACCAGCTCGTGGACGTAGAGTCAACTGCAGTTGCAGCCAAGGCGCGAGTGGTCCGTTACAAGTCCAACGGCCCCCTTGGGATCCGGCGGCGGGCGACGCATATGCAGCGGCTCTCTTGCGCGTCAGACGCCTCGTCTCTGGCGCGGGTGGCGTGGCTGAGCGAGTGGCGCAACGGCAGCTTCTTGATGAACCTCAGCCCGGCCGACGAGCAGGTTGCGGCGGTCCGTCGCCGACAACCGCGCGCAGAGCATTGGGAGCGACGCTCGGGGTGGCAACGGTTTGCAGCCAACCAGATCTACGGCCAACCGCGTGCACAAGCAAGTGTTCACCTGCGTCGCAGACTGGACCATTGGTCTCTGGATATCTTGCCTGGCCGCCGGCTGGGGCCCGCTCTGCGCGTTCTGCGGATGGTGGGTGCCCGGTGTCTCCCGCGCGTCTGGGCTGCAGTGCTCCGCCTCTTCTGCAACGATTGGTGTGCGAGTGCCCGTTTTGGTGGAAGTTGCCTATGCCGATGTGCGTGCGGCGCAGGGGAAGACGCTATCACGCATTTTGCACACTGCCGCGCTGTCCGCGACCTCTTCCGCCGGAAAGCGGGAGTGGATCTTGCGCCCGGCGCGCTCGCAGTGCATGATTTCTTTGGCTTGGGGGGGCATTCCGCACGGACGAAGCCACTATCAACTGGGCGGCGGCGGTGTGCGCGCTGTGCCAGGTGCACGATGGCCGGCGACGCCATCTCTTGGCGACGAGCGAAATCCTGGGCGCCTTCTGCGAGTACTTGAGGGACGGGCGCAGCGGCCACGGCGCGGGCGCGTGAGTGAGCAACGGCCGTCCAGACAGTTACGGCGAGAGTCTCGATTTTGGCCGTGCCGGCCTATCCTCGATTTTAGGTTGGTCCCTGTTGTTTCTCCCTCCCCTCTTCCCCTCTCCCTCCCTTTCCCCCCTTCTTCCGGGTCGCCCCGCCGCGCTGTGGGCGAAGTCTTCTTGCGCCAGCCGCGGATGCGGCGGCGCCACAGGTCCGCGCTTTAATGAATTGCGTCGTTCACTAACTTAGTTTCGCAGCAGTGCACGTTTCAGATTTGCAGGCCGCCGCGGAGGAGGCGGTGCACAGACTGCAGCTCCTTCCGCAATGCATGCCCGATTTGGTAGCGCAGGCTTCCGTTGGAGAAGCTGCGTTGCAGACGGGGCCGCTTTCGCCGCAGCGCCGGGGCCGGCAAATGCTGCCTTCCGGCGGACAGCTCCCCACCAGCTCCGTCAGTGCAAGCGCTTGCGTGGTAAAAGGGGTTGCCCCCCCGCCCCTCCTTCTCTCCTCCGCCCTCTCCTTCTCCTCCGTAGTCCCCCGCGCGCGGCGACTCGCCCCCGCGCTGCGGCGGTAGCGGGGCACGCGACGTGGTTTGTCTTGTTAGCCAGTGCACGTCTCAGATCTTTGCTGGCCTCCAGAAGGACACGATCAAGAGTGTGAATGGAGGTGCGCCGCGTCGGTCGGCCCCTGGTGGGATGGCGCCCCTCGCCAGGGGGCCGGAACAACAATGTCTCCTCGGATCGGCGCCCTCCCTTTTTTCTTCGGTGGGACTCGACTTGTGGGAGTTGCCTCCCTTCGCTTTGCCCTCCCTCCTCCGCTCTTGCATGCGCGTGTCTGTTTATACAGTTACATCTTAGTGTCTGCACATCGGCGCTATTCTTCACCAGGGGCCGGCCGGCTGTACTTGGGCTGGCGTTAGGCAAAGACTGCCGGCATGCTGCGCAGCCGTTTTCCGCTCTCTTCCCCCCCCTCTTCCCTTCCAGTGCTACTGTGTGCGATTTTAGTTTTCGGTTGAGTAGGCCAAAGGGGGATTTCCACAGGGTCGGGATCTCAAGTTTGCGTTGTCGTTTATGGAGCTTGGTCTCTGCGCTAGCTAAATCTGCATTCCACGATTTCTGACCCAATGTTGCCATTTAGGGAAGTGTTGCCAGTGCTTTTTACTTCTGGCATGGGCCAGGGTTTAAAGTTGACGTCGCGCGTGACATTTCGCCACCAGCAGTGTTTCGCAAGTGTCGAGCGTGGCCGGCGCGCGGGTGCGGGGGGCTGCTCTGGCAGGGCCTCGGGGTCCACCTCACGGGCACGGCGAGGATGCCACTGCGTCGGCGGGAGCTGTTCTGATGGTGTTGCGTAGGAGAAAACAAACACCATGCGCTGCCATTGTTCTTGATGGGCACAGGGCCTTCTCCTGGGCAGGTCTAGTAAGGAAACGGGTGAGTCTCGCAGAGGAGATTGTCCCAGGACCAGAATTTCAAACCAACCTCGCGGGCAAGGCGCCATGACATTTGGGGTGAGTTCATGACGTGTGCTTCTGGGGGGGAGACTGGCCCAGGGTCCAAGAGTTCGCCGTCTTCACGAAGAGCAAGGAGAAGGAGGAACTTGACCAGTAAAAGGCAATATGTGCGCACTTGAAGAGGCGGGCCCAAGACCCACAGCATCAGGAAGCGATCGCTAACCTTCCTGCATCTGTCATTCCCATTCGCCGTGAATTTCTGGCAGCTCATGCCGATCCACCAGCAGAAAATGAGCAGATTCGAGAGATGTTGCACAAGTCGAAGGAAGTCTAGGCCAACGTCAGCGTCGCAGCCATGATTGAGAATAACGAAGTTTTTATCAACACCTCAGCAAGAGCCTCAGCAAAAAGGCCAGTTGGGCCCACATTGTTTTGCTTGGTCTGGCTGGGAACCAACATATCCGGCCTTCGAGATCAAAGTGGGCCTTGACGGGCTTGAGGTTATTGAACCTCACCAGAGCATGGAGAAGAAAGCTGAACGCTGGTCAACGTTTTGAGAAAAATAAAAAGGCACCATGGGCCCACAAAAGAATGATTCCCCTGAATAGCCGCGAGTTCTCAGGATGAAGGTCAGGGAGCTTCATTTCAGTTAACCACTGCCAGATGTGACGATCGAGCACATAACACAGGGCATGAGGGATTTAAAGGAACATTTTGGACCAGGAACATATCCTTGGAATTTCAGGGAATGGAAAAGTCTCCCACCTTGCGGCCACCGGCAGCTCCTGGAAGTTTCTCATTTTGCCGAGGAACAATTTGCGTGCCCGCAGTAGATCAAGATTGTAGCCATGACCCCAATGCCACCGCCAGGGGGAGATTGACCAATCACGTTGACCCCTGGCCCCTATATACTCCTGGGTTGTCACGAGTACGCTGCCCATCGCCACGTGGGAAAAGCAGCGCGCGCGGCATGTTCGAAATCTGCGGTGCCAGGAAGCCGGCCAATTCGGGCAGCGGCTGTCAGACAACACGCAGCTGAAACACGTGACCTTTGGGGATCAATTGGTCACAATTCTTGCGGGACGCAGCATTTCTACGTTTTCATCGAGCCCGAACATTCGCAGGTCTGGCTCAACCTTCACACTATTCAGAGCCCCGAATCATCAGGGGTACCTCGGGTCAGGGCTAACTCGGGTTCGTTTTTCGGGAATCCGAACCCGACTTACCCCGGACCCGAGCTACCCCGGATAATTCGGGCGTCCAGAACCCCACATCATCAGGGGTAACTCGCTTCAGGGCTAACTCGGGTTCCTTTTTCGGGAATCCAAACCCGAGTTACCCCGGACCCGAGTTACCCCGGATAACTCGGGCGCCCAAACTATCCCCTCTTGCCGTTTCATTCTGCGTTTCTTCAGCGCCTGGCATACTTATGGCTTGCAGTGGGCCGCCTGGTATCGGAAAGTGTTCGCGTGCAGTGTTCGATCATTGCCAGAGGTATGCAGAGCGTAGATTGGTCAATAATGTACTTTTGGGAGATGTTAGGCGACGCCCAAAAACGCTTTCCCTATCCGAGAAGTCAGATGCGCAGCTGAGTGGGCGACCTGGCGCAAGGAAGCGCCGGCAACAGTTTAGCAGCATTGGACCAAACCACCGATATCGGGCGTTTCCTGGTCCCTCGTGCGCGACCTCCGAAGGATGTTTTTTTTGTCCTAGCCATCCTGTGGTGTTGGGTCCTCGTTTTGATTAGAAAGCGCCCCGCGTTTTCACTCCTCCTCAACCCCGTGCACATCCCTCCTCCCTCCTCCCCCCTCCCTCCTCCCTCCTCCGCAGTTCGCGACCCCCTCTCCCACCTAGTGCAGCACTTCGTGGCCCCAGAGGGAGCTCCACCGAAGGTCCCACTGATGTAGTTCGCATGCGTCTCCCCCGCCCAGCACAACGCTTCGTGGCCCCATCGGAATTTCCGCCGAGGGTCCCAATGGTGCAGTTCGCATGTGTTTCTCCGCACGCCCTGCCTCTTTCCCCCCCCCTCGCTTGCATGTTGGCGCACTTCGCTACGTGCCCCCGTTTAGTTAGCTCTTCCGCAGCACAGTTCCTCTGCTTGGCCGCCGACGTAAAAGTGTCTAGGCGTGTGGGCGCGCGTGTGCGTGTGTGCGTGCGCGTGTCGCTAGTCGTGCGCGTTCTCTTCTCCGATGTTGGACGCCCTGTCCTTGCGCGTGGGGTCGCGACGCTCTCCCCCAACAAAAAATGTGTGCGTGTGATTGGTCTCTCTGGGGCCACTTGGAGGCCTCCCGGGGACGCCCGACGCGCCGGGGAACATCCCCAGTCAAGGTGGCCTCTGACTACATCGACCCCCCCACGCTCAGGGCCGCGTTGGCCCAGCTCCTTCCTCTATCCATCCAGCAGGGCTCTTTTCGATTCAATCGATTCGATATCGATATCGATCTCGGCCAGGCCGATCCGATTCGATCCTGATTTTCCGACGATTTGACGCAGCCCGACGCTAGCATCGCGTTGTCGTGTGTCTTGGCACAGCCGATCCGGTCATTTCGCCTTCTAGAGTGCGCATGTAGATGTGGATGAAGGGTCAGATCTGGTGACGAGTGTGCCAGATGATGCTGCACATTCGTGATCCAGGTCTTTCCCTTCTCTCCCTGTCCTTTTTAGCCAGCATGGCACACCCACAGTGCACACGCTCGCTCTGCGCAGATGGCAGTGTCTTGGCCGCAGTTGATTTCTGAGGACCGGTCCTGTGCTCCTCCGTGGGCCCTCGCCCTTCGTCCCTCGCCCCCCCTCGCTCACCCTCCCCTCACCTCAGGTCTCCTTCCCCCCCCACACCGTTCGCTCCCAGGATTCCGCTCTGGCCCGGCGCGGCGATGCCAGCGCTGGTGCGCGGGCCTAGCAGGGGGACGAGCGGTAGGGGGATAAGCCAGGGGATGAGCCATGCGGAGAGAGGGGGGAAGGAGGCAAGCGAGGGAGAGATTAGGCAGTGGGAAGGGGGGGGGGATTCAGAGAAGGGAGAGAGGTCCAGGCAAAGGATGGGAGCGGGGGGCGGCAAGGGAGGATGGGCGAGGAAGCGGGGGTGTAGCGAGAGTGAGGGTGAGGGAAGCGGGCACGTCAGATCATCAGCAGCATCATCAGTAGTGATTTCCTCATTAGTTTCCCCACGCGGCAGGTAAGATTAGCCTTGTTTCTGCCAATGGACAAAGTGCACGCCCGCTTACCTTGCAGGCGTATTCCGTATCGTTTCCACTAGCTTTGAATTCATAGGTGTGGATCACTATATAACGTGATGCGGGCGGGAACGCGCCTGAGTGGCATGCCGTTTTTTTCTCATGATTCGCGCAAGCCTGCGGTGGACGTGGGAACAGCCTCCGTTCACCAGCCCAGCACACGCAATTGACTTTGGATGAACATCAGATGGATGCCTTCGGTTTCGACAGAGCTAGTTGTTGCAAGCGAGTTGATAAGCTGTCATAGGCTCCCTGTGCCGGCGGTGATGATAAGAAGCATTATGATCCCGCCATGTGGTTCGATAATCCCTTTCGGAAATCCCGGTCGATCAGGCGCGAATGGTGTCAAACCACATGTTGCAGCAGCGTTAGGAATGGACTAATATGCATAATGGTGACGATATCGAGCTGGACAACGGACGGTGTTCCGAAGTAGCATGGATGGCCAAATGCAAAGACAAGAGTGGCATTGGTTCGCAGTTGATGACGCTCTTGAAAGGATGGGTTTCTGTAGGTGACCTCAGCAAGCAAATGGCACTGATCAACATTGACGCAAAAGAGATTGCAACGACAGCGGTTAACGCAGAGATAGCCTGTGTGAAGATTCATCCCCAGTGCTTGAACGAGAAGTTCAATGCTCAAGATGAAAGCAGCAGTCATATTCAATGTCGCGCAGGCCCTCAGGGGCCGCAGGATGATTCGTGAAGCGCGGCATCTCGCAATACTCGCGCGTCTCTAGGAGCTGGGACCCGTCAAACGGAGGGGACTACCGTCGAACGGAGTGGACCAATATTTGGCCGACTTCCTCATTATCATATATCAGCATTGGATGATGGGTTGGACTTCGGGCGATTGGGCGCGGCGCGCACTTGACGCACCTGCGGCAAGAATCGCACTCGGTGCGTCTGGTGCACATGGCACGTTTGTGCGCCTTCGGCACCTGGCGCACCTTGCGCGCGCGGCGCACCTGGCGCACGTGGCACACCGTTCGTGCACGGCGCACCTGGCGCCCGTGTTGGTCCCCAATATCTCTCGATTGGGTGGTGACCGTCGCCCACGCTGAGTGTATG